CCCCCCCTCTGTCAGTTTTTGAAGAAGAAAAAGATTAAGAATGAAATTTCATTCTTGGTCCATGGTGATAAACACAGGAGGAGGAGGAGGAAGCCCTCAGGCTTTGAGGGAGCCCCAGATGATTAGTCCTACTACAACAGCAACAACAACCAACACTATCAATATAATGCAAATCTTCTTCCGGGAGCTTTGCTAGAAGAAAATAAGCAGAAGGAATTTAATGTTTTTGAATTTTCTTTCCTTTATGATCTAACTAATAAGTTGATTAAATGATGTAGAGTCATGCACACATTCTGCTTTACAGAAACAGGCTCTAACAACCAGTCTTGCTTTACTAATCCAAGTTAAAATCTCATTTTTCTAGCATTTATTACAGCTCATCTGTCTTTTCATACTCCTGTTCCTCACCACTTCTGTCATATCATACATTAAGATATCTCTGTCACATTACCTGGTGGCCTGCAGCTCGGGCCAGCTGGTGCACCCCTTTCTGGATATTGGTCTCGGTATTCTCCACGTTGGCTTCTATGCTATCTGCAGGAAACAAAACAAAATACATAATTTACTTGCGGTAAGAGTAGAAACTGCACAATCCTGCTCACTGAGCCGTAAACTGTCAATGTGAAGCTGTTACACCTGTCAGCATTAACTTACTGAAAGATTCTTACCTATCATGTCTCCTTGCTCGTGGACCATCATACCCAGGTCCTTGAAGATGTCATTTATGTCTACGATGTCAGACTAAAAATCAAGAGAGCCGGTCCATATTCAAGAGGCACTTACAGTATGTTTGTGACTTTGTGTTTGTGGAATTTTCTTTGCACAGATATTAGGTGTTGAAATTTGATCTCTACCTCCAGCTGCCTTAGAGCTGATTCTCTCTCCTGGATCAGTCTCAGATCTTCTTCAGTGACAGCGTCAGCCTGAACCTGTATCTGGGAATCACTGCATACAGATGCAACGAGAGTAGTTAAAACATTATTTACTATAATAATAAAAAGCAGAAAGAATAATACTGTTCAGAAACAGTGGGCTTACCTCGGTATAGGAGGAACATTTCGAAAGCTGTCTTCAGGCTGACCACCCTGCTAGAAGTTAATTGAACACATTTAAGTCTTATTGTTGCAAATCTGCAGAGGTCCTTCTATTCCTGATTATGGGTATAGCAATGATTCAGTAAGTACAGAATGTCCTTTGCTGCAATATATAAGTAAAAGAAAAAGAATTATTCAGTATTTGCAGAACACTTCGTTGTTAAAATATATGCATGGCAAAGTTGAATAAATTCACCTTGCAGCTTTATTTACTGTGCAAAAATAAATTATTAAACATAGCAGCAGTAACACGCTGTTCCTACTTATCAGCAGCATAGCAGATAAAAAAAATAAAAAAAAAACTTTGAGTGAAGCGAGATAAGCAAGAGTGAGGTACGGGAACACAGCTGTGAGTGGGTCCAATCATGGGAATCTGTGACTACAACAATCACAATTAAAGATACTTTTTGATTCACAACCATGTGACAGCTTCATGTGAAACTACTTCTGAACTGACGCCTGCGGTTGCAACAATTTTAAGAGAGGAGTGAAACTGTAACCAGCTGTGACTATTTCAAGCAAGCACTGTGGTGGAATACAGTGCAATAACAATTTTATGTGGATTTTTGTAAAAATAAAAAAGTAGACATTTCTCAGCAGAAGCCGACATACTGATGAGAGAAACCCAACAAGGTTTGTGAACGAGCACTTTGTGACAGTGGGGAGAGAAAGATAACCCCCTTAACATGCAGCAGAACTACACTCGGCGATGGTGACCATCTGCCTCGGCAGGCTGGGGAGAGGGGAAGCAGAGAGTGAAAACAGTAAGAAACACGAAAGTGAGAACAAACACTAGTGAAATCTGCTGCTGAAAGGAAAAAGGCAGTGAGCCTTGATGTACAGCACCTACTTGTTTTGCTGGATTGTTAGTGCAAAGCTTAAACAAGCTATGGTTTTCTATGGTTTCAAGAATGTCTAATTTTCAAGTCTCTACTCTTCTGTAGGTTTTCAATAGGATACCAAACATATTCTCCTCTGCTATCCATCACAAGCACTTATGCTGACAAAAATCGCCTGTATGTGTCGTCCAGTTTATGGCTAAGCAGAAAAACACAACACTTCTTAAACAGCACTTCACACGCATGTCAAAAGACCTGAATTCCATCTAAATCTACGCAATGATGTAATATATGTGTTTACATTTATAGCAGTGGCTTCACCCCACTCTCATACTCCCATACAGTACCTATTTTATAACTGTCGTTTAATGCTCTACCCAACAACTTGGTGATCTGATGACAGGCAGTTACTTACAGACAGTCTGGAGCTGGCTCTGACTCTGGCCACAAACTCCTTCTCTTTGCTGGCGGCATCTCGCTGCGACTTTTGAAAGCTGTTCAGAGCAGCGGAGAAGTCGTTCAGCAGGCGCTCTCTCTGTATCTTTCTCTGACGCTAAAGTAAACACAAAAATATTGTAAACAGATGAACAAATGGACTTGTCAGAACTATGGTCTGTAGTTAATCAGTCTGGTATGGTACCACAGATTCTACAGAAAAGATTGATTACAATGCTCATTGGTCAGTGGACTGCTATTTTGAACATTTAGATGTTGCCATGGTTTCTGTGGAACTACAAGTAACCACTTTGAATGAAAGAGTGAAGCGCTATGATGTGATATATAAATAACAATTATAGCTAAGAAGAAGTCAAAAGCATTTTTGTTTCAATCTGTCAACACATTTATTTCTGCAGTGAAGCTGTGAAGTTGGGCATTTAACATGGCAGTCTATGAAGACTGACTCAATTTTGTAACCAGGCCCCAGGGACATGTGAGGAACTACAGCCTTTGTGCCAGTGAGTTTATTTTTTAGACCGAGAGGTTGTTCTTTGTGTTTTGCTTGACTGTGACAAACCTTTTAGATCATGAAGACTTTACAAACTCATTACCTGATCAGGTCCGACTGGGAGTGCAGTAAAAGCTTTCATCAGTCGGTCAGTCTCCTTTGCCAAGTGGTTGCCTTGTTGCTGCTTCTGTTGACTAATGACATTAAAAAATGAATTTGTTAAAGTAGAGAATAGTACTCAGACATTACAAAGACAAAGGATGGTAGGCATAATACTGTGCATAGGTTTAAAAGGAATCAGAAGTAATTTAGAGTATATAAAAAAATTAGCCGGCATTAAACATTGCTGTAATAGTCTAACATTTTCTACGCTTGCACATTTACACTTTCACTAAGATACTTCTGATAACAGCCCAGGTATGTAAATCCAACCAAGCCCCAGTAACTCACATCGTCTGTAGTAGCTGGCTGCTGTCCTGTTCAGTTCCCAGCACAGAGATTGCCCTTTGCAGCTCGGAGGCTGGCAAGAAAGTCACAGAGAAGCATGTTGTTTATTTGTATTGAAGTGTGTCCATGTGTTGGACGCGCTGGCTGACAATAATGTGTTTTTATGTGTGCATTTCTTACTCAGCAGTGTGATCTTCTGGATGTTGGAGCTGATCTGGTTAACCAAAACACTGGGCTCCTCTGGAATCCCAGCCTGGTAGGCCATGATGAAAGCTACGAGGACACACAAGACCACAGGCTTCACTCGACTCGCTCATGAGTTAACAGTGAGATCTAATTAGCGTCTGGAGTCAGCTCACTGTTCTCGTGACTGTCATGTGTAGAAAAAAACAAAAAAAACAAAAAAAAAAAGAGGCTTTCGGGGTGAAAGCATTTGTGTAGATATAGTATAATCATTGTATCTTGCAAATTTCCAAGAAGAGATGTTGCAACTGTGCTTCTATTTATGGCATCTTTGATGCAACGTTTGTGACACCCCCTTACATTTCACCTTCTTTCTACAGGTTTTCATCTTGAAGCAAAGCTCCAGAAATATCTGTTGAGAAGTTCACTACTATCTTTCACTGGGTGCTTCTTAATACTCATGGACTCAGTCCGAGGTTTTATTCTCACACAACACAGTAAAGCCTGCCACACGGCTGGTGTCCTCATTGCTCACAGTGTTTAATAAATTAGAGTTCAGAGCTCTGAGAAGGCAAGTTTATTTCTTTTATACAGGAATACAGTGGACCCACCCCCAAACACTGAGTACAGTGTGTGATTAGTCACAGTAAGCTTAAGCTTCAAGCTAAGAGGAGCAAGGATGGAAGCTGAAATAGTAAAGTGAAGGAGTGGCTTAAATAAATCACTTTATAATATAACTCATGACCTAGAAATGGTTCAGAGGTCCAGCTTCCTTGGAATGTGATACTGTAAACATGAGCAACCTGAAACAATAAAAAATACTGTAACAATAACAAGTTTTATGCTGGTACTTATCCACTAAAAACACTGTGAAACTAATACACTTACATTATTGAGGGATCACACAAATGATCATTACAGCTAAAATGATTTGATATCAATGCTGTGAAATAAAATATTATAAATATGCTGCAGAATTAAAATATTTTCATCTTTTAACCTAAAAAAAAAACAGCTATCAAGGCCAAAAGGAAAGTCCTACAGTCTGATAAAGGTGCTCATATCATACTGTACAACCTGAAGTGAAGGAGTGTTGGGCCGGGAATATTTAGCACAAGCTCCTCATGCAGACTTCCTGACTCAAAAAAGACTGAAACTTAGTATGCAAATAGCCACCTGCTAAGAAACTGTCACAGTGACAGGATATTTCTCGTTTGCTTTAATTAAAAATGAAAGTGTGATTAGGGTTAATTAAACCAACGTGCATGTTCTGTTTCTGTCTCCTTGCCAACAAGGAAAAAATGCGGAAATCACCAGAGTATTTTTTATGCCATCAACATGAACGGATAAACTGCAAATACTTAGTTATGACCTACTTGTGTTTGTTGGGGTTAACGCTGTCCTAATGTTACCTGTACACTGCTCTTTATTTTAACATTAGCGGGTTTAAGAGTCATGAAGTTACAAGGGAAGTCAGTATGAAGATGTTTGTCGCTTTTCGTTGTAAAGCAAAACAAAAAAACTTAAAAATACGAAACAACCTCGTAAAAATACGTTGGTCGTCTAAAACGTTAGTGAAATTGTCAAGAATGACTAAAAGTTTACTTGAGTTGTGTAAAAGTTTGAACTTTACCTTTCTCGTGACTTGTTTCTTGCGTCGTTGTGCTTCCTGATTTTTTCTTTTGGCCACTCCTCCGTCACATGATGTCTGCTGCACTCCCAGCGAGACCGCAGCTGTAAATTAAAGGTGTCAAACGGTAACATAATGCAGGCCAGAAAAGTATAGAAACAAAGACTGTCCTTTTCTTAAAAACAGAGCAACGACGCAGCACAGGTTAAGTGCTTCATGATCTTTCATTCTTAGGTATTTATCGGCTGTAGGCTACCAGGTGAGATGCTGGTTCGTGGGCAGGTGAGGGGTCCAAATCAGTTCCAAAAATGCTAGTTTACACTGGACAACATCAGTGCTTTTAGTTAGTGTAAGAGCCATAAAAAGGATTATAATTCTGTTTAGGTCTTGGGTGTCATATATGATGCTCGGGGCCCAGAATCGGCCTAATAAATTGAATTCACATTGAATTGAATACATTCCTTTTAAATCGTGGGCCAACTTTACAAAAGCCCCTTTCTCTGAACGTAAAGACGTTTAACAGCACAATTAATCCCCTTTTATATAAGAAACAATTAGTGCAATTTCAACCTCACACCTATGCCGTTTTTCTACATGGTAAAGTTGGCTGGTTGGTTTCCACAGTGTGTTTTTTAGCCTGTTTCCTTCCCATCGTTCCCAACCAGTCACTGCAGATGGCCTCCCCTTGTTGAGCCTTGTTCTTCCAGAGGTTTCTTCCTGTTAAATGGAAAGTTTTTTATTCCCACTGTCACAAATTGCTTTCTCATAGAGGGTCATTTGATTGTAGCAGTTTTCTCACAGTTATTGTGGGTTCTTTACCTTAAAATATAAATCTACTTTTGATTTGGCATTAAGTAAAATTTAATTGCACTATGTGTGCAGAAATGTGCACAACAATATAAGTATGAATGTGTAAAGTGTGTCCATGTGCTTCAGTGTGTATGTATGTTACTAGTCTAGTTGATTCATGTAGGGTGTTCACTTCTATGTGCATGAGTTTCCAGTCCAGACTCTGAGTACTGAGCTTTCTGAGGCCTGAAGGAAGAAACTGTTGCACTGACTGGAAGTGAGGGACTAGATGTTCTGGTACATCTTGTGAGGAGAGTAAAAGGTTTGTGTCAGGTGTGTGGGGGATCATACACAATGATGGTGGCTTTGTGAATACAGAGTTTGTGGGAAACGTCCTTGAAGGTGGGGAAAGAAACAGTGGTCCTGCAGCTAACATGGGTCATAACTGATTAACCACAACAAAAACAAACAACTGACAGGTGAAATGAATACATTCATTATCTCTTTGCAATGCAGCGTTTTCATGGAAAACCTTGTATTTTAAAATTCTTGTGAATGTTACTTTTACAGGTGTCTATCCACCAAATATTTCACTAGCACCCTCCAATGGCAGCATCCTCCTATTGCAGGACAGCGCATCTTGCCACTCCACAAAGCTGCTCTGGACACTTAATTTGCATAAATCAAACTCCTCAGATCCCAACCTGAACATTCACGAAGGAGCCAGAATAGATCATCCACGGTGGACACACCAACAAGACCAAAGGGCTCATGTTCATGCATTAATGGGCCAGAACTGAACTGTGTACAAATGATGGATGTAATGTAAATGTGTCTGTCTCTAAAGCGCTTTGGTTCACCTTCTGTGGTTTATATGTGCTAGATTGCCGGTTCGAGCCCCAGCTTGGACAGTCTCGGTCGTTGTGTCCTTGGGCAAGACACTTCACTCGTTGCCTACTGGTGGTGGTCAGAGAGCCCGGTGGCGCCAGTGTCCGGCAGCCTCACCTTTGTCAGTGCGCCCCAGGGTGGCTGTGGCTACAATGTAGCTTGCCATCACCAGTGTGTGAATGTGTGTGTGAATGGGTGGATGACTGGATGTGTAAAGCGCTTTGGGGTCCTTAGGGACTAGTAAAGCGCTATACAAATACAGGCCATTTATACATACATGCCACCATATTGCTGAAAGATATTTCTTTTTAATTTGCTACCCTACTTTACATATAAAATTGGCTTTGCTTTCAGAATAATGCAGAATCTGGATTAAATAGTATTACCTAACAGTTCACTTGCTAACACCACCTCAACTTTTTAAAATTGTAGTTATAATTTGGTTCTTGGTGTTTACTCCATGCAAAGTGTGGTAATTTTACAAAACACATTATGATGTTACATAAAGCTACGAGACATGTTCTGTTTACCAGACGCATCAGGCACATCAAAGTTCACTCAGATTAACCTAATCAATAACAGTCTTAACTTCTGTATCCAGTACAGACTCACTGGAGTATACTGCACTTTGTTAGGTGCAAGGTTGGACTGATTCTTAAGGTGATTCTCTAATCAGCCAATCTCATGGCTGCAACTACATGCATAGACATGTAGACCATATCTAAATGTCCAGGCACATAGTCAAGGCCAAGATAACCTAATGAAGTTCAAACTGAGGATCAGAATGGGGATGAAAGGTTATAGTGGCTTTAAAGGTGTTGGTTGTTGTGGGCTGGTCTGGCTCTTTTAGGAATTTCCCCACTCAGCCATCTCTAGGGTTTACAAAGAAAGGTCCAAAAAAGAGAAAAAAGACTGCTTCAAGATTATAGTAAGGCAACAGTATCTCAAATAACCACTGAACCTTGAAGCAGATGGCCTCCAGCAGCACGCTGGATGCCACTCCTATCAGCCAAGAACATAAAACTAAGGCTATGGTCAGCACCTTGTTGAGTGTGTGACACAAAGAATTAAGGCAGTTCTGATGAGAAAAGGGGGCCCAACCTGGTGCGAGCAAGGTGTAACTAATGAAGTCTTCGGTGAGTGTATGTGAAAGTAAATTTTATGAGTTTTTCCAGATAAAAAGTGTTATCTTTGGCTACTTAAGGGGGTAAAAATCTGTATAATTTTTCCAAGGATTCTTAGAATTTATTTGGGGTTTGTGTTTCCAGATTCAATTTACTGATGGTATCACTGTATCACTATAAAAGTTGTGGATTTGGGTTCATGTAAACAAATCAGCTTGAACGATGAACAGATGTACTTTGCACTGAACTCAGTATTCTATGTTTGGACAAAATTGAGCTCTATGTACTTAAATTCTCTTATCTGTTGGTCAGGGTCCAGTGAGCCATATGTCACATGGACTAATGTGATTGGTGCACATCTGCATGCACTGACTTTGATATTCAGAGAAGTTACAAATGCTGTATTTAAGGGAAAACTCTCAGTCCAGAGTAGCTGCTCTTGACTCTGTCCTTCTCTGCAGACCCAACACCTCAGTCATGCTTCGTTTGCTGGTCCTTGGCCTTGTCCTGGCATGTGCAGTGTCTCTCAGCAGCTCTGCAGTAATTCTAGAAAATGGCGCTCCCATCCTTTGGGCACAAACGGCCAGCCAAGTGACTGAGTTGCCAATGCACGATGGGATTCTGGTTCCAGACCCCTGGAACTACCTTCACCGCATGAGTTTATACCGGCTGATGATAGCTGCTACAGACCCCTTCATGGGATCCATGGGGACAAATGCTACTGACAGTCCGCTGTGGGGACTGCCACTGCAGCTTGGATGGATGTTAACTTCAGGTGAAGTCAAAGTATCATTTCTTTTTTTCTTTTTTTTAAGTCAATAATAATCCTTTCATCACAATTTAACAAACTTTGTAGTACAAAACTGAATAAAGAGCCTCCTAATGCAACTAACAAAGAAACAAGACCACAGCTAATGATCTGTTGTTTTTACAGGGCGTCTCGCTGATCCAACGGGTGCAACAACTTGTGGCCTGGAAGCAGAGCCTTTGTGCATTTCTACCCAGAGTTGGTGGGCCTGTAAGTACAAGAAACAAATGCATAAAAAATAAACACAGGGGGAATACAAATGACCTCTTTATGTTTCTCCAGGTGTGAACTATTTTGCATCTGTACTTCCCTTTCTGTCTGCTGCACAACATGGCTTCATGGGAGCAGGAGCTCAGGTATTATCTTAAACTGAAAATGAAAACTTTGAAAATAAAACAACAACAACAACAACTGCAATAATAATAAGAAGGAGAAGAAGAAGAAGAAGAAGAAGAAGAGGACACTTTTTCATGCCATCACACAAATATTTGCAGTTTAAATAATAATGAATATGACCATTTTGTATTATTTATAATGTATGTTATATAGTGCATATTATCATGTATGTTATTACATTACCAGGTCCAGATGCAGGTGCCTGCAGGAGTACAGGACTATTGTACAACTTATGCTGACTGTAAAGCTAAATACCCTGATGCCATGTCTAAGTGGGATGCTTTTTTTCAGGTATTGAAACACAGATATACACTGGTACATGTACACACAGTTTCTATTCACATCATATTATCCCGCAATTTTAAAGGGGAACTGAACTTGTATTATTTTGCCCTTAGCAGAAAACATTACATTTTAAAAAGTCAGGGCCATGTGCCATTATAGTTCAAAACAGGTCTGTGTTCCCTGAATGCACCAGCTTTATGAAGCAACAAAGCTACATGTACTCCTTTAATTGTTCATATTGTTTTAAGGGTCTGAAGACTACTAGTGAATCTCTTCTGCCTGATGATGTGAAGAAAGACACTATCCTTGGTGTCTACTGGGACGCCCTAATGGCTTCAACCTATGCCTCTGCAGCATGTAATCCCAGGTAATTTCTTTTACTTTTACTGTAACCATGTTGCTTATTAATTGTAGACTATATCATTTTCATTTTTTATTCTACTGCTGTAACACAACATCCCTTGTTAGATCAATAAAGTATCTATTTTTATCTATCATAAAATCTATCATTTTAATGCATTTCATTAGTAAACATTTACACATACCCTCCTCCCCCAGTCACCCATCCTGTTTTTACATATTACAAATCATGTACACACACATTCATACATGACAATGACATTGACTAAATCTACTTCATCTTTTTTTTTCTGGCAGTCTTGTTAGTTTTAGCAGTGTCGGTACTCTTTCCTGCACAAATTTTAACATCAATGCCCTTATTGACAATACTAATGATGCTGGAAAAAGTATTAAAGCAAAAGTGATCACTATCCTTATTATTTATAAATGTTTATAAACA